TGGAAACACCCTGTAGAAGACGTCCATATTCAGCTTTTCTGAAAAAAGATGGAGGAAATTACTGTGGTCGATGTTTATTAGATCACAAGATAAAAGTATATGGGAAGGAAACGATCTTGAAAATAAGCTTTAATCCTCCTCTGCTGCTCTTTCCTTCCCACAGAACACGTAATTGTCCCACCACTATAATTGTTCCAAATGCATACATTTCATTTGGGATTTGATAAGTAAATAGATGGAGTCTAAAAATATCATCCAAAAGAGGGATGTAAAGATCAAACGGAGCCATCATTTAAATGGTACAAACAATTCCAGCTAACAGTGAACATTACCCCAGCCATCAAGGCAACGGCTTTACAGGGACGAGTTCCTCTAATTTTGTACATTCTTCGTTACAGAAGCTGAAACTTTCTTATTCGACTTCAGTAACTCACACAAGACACAATGTTTGTTAGTTTTGGAGTCAGATTCCTATCCTGATGCTTTGTTTTCAAGTTCTTAACTGCTTCTATGCCATTTCTTACTAGCTAATCTAATATAGTGTCCTGTGCCAGCATTAAGGGGGTAAAGGATTTAGCTCTACAAATAGAAAAAGGGAACAAGTATTTTGAATGTCTTCAATGTGCCTGACACAACATTAAGTACTTAGGAAGTTATCTCGTGATTTATCTTCATACTTATGTTTGGTAAAGCCTTTATAAGACTATAATTTCGGAGATTTCTTTGGAGTCATGCGGCTGAAGGATGAAAAATAAATAGGAATAATTAAAGATTTGGTAAGAAATCCTTCTATGAATAGAATGAAACATGAAGTCTTTTTTTGTTGTTGTTGTTTGCTTAGAGAACAGTAAGGGGAACCTTACTAAGAATGTCTAGATATCTAAAAAGACAGTTTATAAATGTATGTGAACTAGAGTTTTGCGGTTTCCTCAGGCCAAAATTAATAGGAACAAAGTTAAATTACATAAAGGGGTATAGTATTCATGAAGAGAATCTAGCTAACAAGAATTATCAGGGTGCTAATATCATAGTAACCAACCACTACCTATCTGGATTAGAGGCAGAGATCGCAATAGAGATAGATGAGTTATTTTAGGAAAGAAAGTTAGATCTATCCTCATTCCGTTCTGCTTCAGTGTTTTCCTTGGGGAAATAAATATAAATATATCAATATTTATGTATATATATTTAATCCTGCTTTCCAATCTGTGAGATATGTGGAATTATCTCTATTTTTAGAGAGGAATCTGAAACTCAAAGAGTTTAAGACGTCTCCTCCATTTCACCTAGGGATTAAGAGGGCAAGTCCAGGGACACAGTTTATAGGGGAAAAAAACAAAGGCTGAAATTTAGACGATCTGCATTTTAATGTGGACTTGGCCGTTTTCTACCCTTTGACAATGAGAAAATTATCTTCTAACACTTTATTGTAAAATAAAAATAAGAATACACAAAAATTGTTGGGAAAAATGAAAAGCACACAGTGTTACTGGAAATACTTTGAATAGGAATATAAATCCGCTTTAAAGAATCTAGGAAAGAATGGTCTTCCTTCTTGGCATATGGCTGAAGTTTAAGCACAGCAATCTAAAGGCTCACTTTTTTTAATCAATAAGGGTTTGATTTAAACTTTTGAAAACTGCTTCTGTCCACATGTTACTTGAATACTCTCATGTTCAAACTCATGCACAGTAAAAGTCATTCTTGCCACATAACATGTGCCTAAAATTGTTCATGCTTTGCATTAATTTTTTTTTTGAGACACGAGTCTCACTATGTTGCCCTCAGTAGAGTGCTGCGGCGTCACAGCTCACAGCAGCCTCAAACTCTTAGGCTTAAGCGATTCTCTTGCCTCAGCCTCGCAAGTAGCTGGGAATACAGGCACCCGCCACAATGCCTGGCTAGCTTTGCATTAATTTTGAGAGATTTTAATTATCCAGTAAGAAAGTAATTTCTATAACATCATGCTTCAAGTTAGGATCTGCCCAGTATTCTCAGAGAGAGACACAGCACGAGAGGACAGCCATTGTGATATTTGGGGACTGAGAATAAAGTGAACAATGGGCTCGGCACCTGTGGTTCAAGCAGCTAAGGCTCCAGCCACATACGCCTGAGTTCGAATCCAGCCTGAGACCACCAAACAACGACAGCTGTAACCAAAAAATAGCCAGCCATTGTGGCGGGCACCTGTGGTCCCAGCTACTCGGGAGGCGGAGGCAGAATCGCTTGAGCCCAGGTGTTGGAGGTTGCTGTGAGCTATGATGTCACAGCACTCTACCCAGGGTGACAGCTTAAGGCACTGTCTCAAAAAAATAAAAAAATAAAAGTGAACAACAGAAACGACTTGTCATTTCAGAAAAGAACAGAATAGATTATAGGGCAAACAGGTTTAATATTTCCTGTACCTCTTCCTACGTTTTCTGATTAATCATATCAGAACTGTAACTATTCTTGCAACTCTCACTACTGAAAACTTCTAGACATTGGCAAGCCCCATATAGACCTGATAATTAGAGTAATCTGACCACCAATCACTGAGGGAAAAAATGCTTATGTCATAAATAGCAATGGAGTCTGTTAATTGTAAATAAAGCTGAAGGGAGACCTGACTGAGCAATTTCCACCGAGCAAGATAAAGTCAGAGATGCTGTTTGCTGTTTCTTGGTTATAAACAAGAAAACCACCTCACCAACCTCTTTACAATCTGGACGTCCCAACGCAGCTCCAAGGACTCCAGGCAGTCCTCTTCCCTTCCACATTCCCTAAAGAGAATTCCAGGCCCGACAGGACTGAGAATTGGTATAACTTCTTCCCTAAAATGACTTGGGCTTCCTGGGCATTGGTGTCCAGGACATCTTCTTATAAGACGAGCTCCCATATATTATTAATTGATGTACTAATTAAAGCCATACTTGCAGTTTCCATTAGTTTATTCCCTAAATTCTCCAGAGTTGGCTGTCTGGTTTTAATCAAAACCAAATGGGAGGCCAAGTTCCCAGCCTGGAGCAGCTAAGAGGAAGTCACCCAGTGGAGGCACAAGAAAGCAGCAGAGATAAACAGATGAGAGTTCACAAAATCGGCTTCGGACGAAGGATGCGGATCCCGTGAGCCACTTGAAAGATGTGACTCAGGGACTCTGTCATGCTAGGTGGAAGTAGCTGTGAGTGTTTACTGCCAGCAAGACCCTAATAGGATCAAGATGGAGTCTGTCTCCTGCGTCTCCAGCCCTGGGTCTGTGTAACTGTGGAGGATTCTGACTGGAGGTAACGCTGCTGCGTGTGCCCTAACACAGACTTCTCTAACTGTGAAGGGTCCTCGCCATGGCAGAGATGTGATAGACACAACAATCTATGGACTGGATTCTGGGGGACTGACTTACTTATTTTCTAAGGTACAGAAGAGAAGGCTGCACCACTTTACATTTGAAGTGATGTTTAAAAAAAAAAAACTGGAACCTTTGGAAGAAGAAAGGTGTTAAAATCTAAATTCATCTTGCTCTTTCGAAAGATCTTTTGAGATGAAAGCCAGCCAAGGTGTTTTGCTTAAGCTGTATATATACATCTAATACAGTGGAAAGGGTGTGGGTGGATGGGGAAAGAAGTATGTTTTCTTTCTTTTTCTTTCTTTCTTTCTTTTTTTTTTCATAAGCAGTGTGGGATAGAAAAAGCTCTAGGACTTTATGACTCTCTAGCTAATCACCTCAAGAGCTTTGACAAAACTCACTTGAGTTCTGCATAAAATCAGAGCTCCTAAAACGCCCAGGCACTGGGCTGTCTCCCCCTCCCCTCTGCTCGGTCAGGCTTGCTCACATGCACACTCCTCAGAGGCAGGAAATACTTTCCAGGCAATCTGGGCCTGGTGGTGGAGGCCCCTTACGCAAAACATCAGTCTGAATTTAGTAGACAGAAGTCACCAGGAACGCCTTGACACGATCCTGCTTTCCCTGAGCTTCCTTCCAGCTGCAGAGGGTGTTTTTGTTAGAATCACACACTGCGTCAAACTGCTCAGAGTAGAGAGCCATGATCTCAACCACGAAATGTGAACTTCGAGTTTGGAGAAGCTAACCGGGACGGACGTCTTTCCTAGCCTGAGTGTCGAACAGTTGTCATGCCTGGGCGCTGCAGCTCCTCCTTCCTCGTCTAGGTAAGACGCTGTGGACTATCTTTATCCTTTGACGTGCTCTTTGAACAGGCTGGGAGATTGAGATAAACGTTAGCATCTGGTACCCCGTTGGAGACTTCCTAAGTTTTCCAGCCATAAAAGAGAAGTGGAAAATGTTTAGTCAGTAGAGAACTGTGAGTCAAATCGTTTCAGCAAACTGTCAGTTCTAAAATAGGCTCCTTCTAGATTTTCTGCTTTTCCTCCATAAAGATTTTATTTTGATCCATTTCCATTTTTGACTTATTTATTAATTGATGTGTAAGACAAGTTTTCCTATTGCCTGGCATCAGAGGAAACAAACAGATTTTCTTACATGTAAGTGTGTGAGATGTAAATGAATCCTCGCTCCACTTCTGTTGCCAACAGGGAGAGCAGAAAGCATTGAAGTGACTTTTTCTTAATAATCAGCTTCCAAAGAATATTTTGTGTCTCATTTGAAACCGTGAAGATTAAATCCCTTATTATTTCCCCCAAAACAGTTTTAGCCACATGTCAAGCGGCTTCTGTACAGCTTAAAAGGTTGATTACAAAAAAAAACAACAACAACAACAGTAAACACATGAAATTTCAGAAATAATTTCTATCCTAACTAGTGAATTTGAACTTCCAAAAATGAAGTATCAGAATGGAATTTAATGTTTAATGTTCCAGGAGTCACTGCTCAGATAATATTTTGTGTGACTATTTTGAATAATTGAAGTAAATAGCAATGACATTGGCACTCATGATTACTATTTAAAAGCAGCCAGAAATCACTGCAGTTCTACGGAAACTGATTATATATGTATGCCTTTACTTCATATAATCATAAATTTACATTTCCACTGGACTATAGTTTCTTTTAGGTCATCTTAAATATTTAAATGTACAACATATTAGGAAAGAAATTTGGTAATGAATGAAATCGTATGGACTTCTGCAAGACAGGCTGTTATATTTCTGCCTATTTAGAATGAAATCATCATTTTAGAGAAATAATACGGAATGGTATATAAAGGAAACAAATATTCATGTGTATTTCCAAGTAACTAGATGAACACAAAATAACCTAAATGACAGATAAAGAGCTAAATAGACAGTTAGATAATGAGAAATCCAAGTAAGCATTTTAATTACAAGCTTTTCTATAGTACAAAATGGTCATTAGCTAATTTGTTCTTAAATTCCATGCTCGAATGACATATATTGATAGATGTTAACCATATATCAGCTGTTGAAGTTGGGTTGACATTTAAAATAGGAGGAAAAGAATCTATTTCATTTTAAATATCCAAAAACTAAAATAAGTGACTTATCTAAATGATGATTAAGTCAAATCCTGCACAGACTGTCAGGGAAGGGAAGAACCTAAGAAATTCTCTCTCCTGACTCTGGCTTGAGGTTTTGAACAAGGAAGCTGAGGAATGGCATTCCCAGGTGACCTAGCCAAGGTCACACTGCTAGCTACTAGACAAGATGACAGCAGAACCACAGTGCCCTGCTTGGTAACTCAGATATCCCCAACCACATCATCTTCCTCTCAAACAATAATTATGCATAATGAAGTATGAACTTGGCTGGTGGAAACTTTACTGTGCAGACAGAAAATTGGGGCATCTCTTAAAACAATAAAAAGAAAGACTTAAACCTTCACTGGCTGTTATTTATGTGGGGAAAAAAAGATTTAAAAAAATCAAATTTAGTAAATAATGCAGTTTTCTCCAATGCAAAAGTTATCTTAAAAATGTTTAATAATGCCTTGAACAAACACTTTCCAAGAGCAATGTTTTTGCAATTGTTATGGTACATGGCTTATTTATAACAAGAAAACCAATCCACGTGGTAATAATTGTATTGATTTTAAAATTGTTTCCTAAATTAGAAGGTTAGAAAAGAGCTTATCTAATTCATATCCTTGTACTCAAATGGTATCATAATAAAACTATCCTAACCAATGATGTTTAGAGCCTATCTTACACCTCCTCCACTGGGATCAGTTGAAGAGTCTTATGTAGCTAGACATTCTTCTTCTGTCCAACCTAAATTTCTATTCCTGCAGCCTATTTCTAATTCTATGTTGGTTTTTTTTTTCCTAGTGTAAATACATAAAGGCTACATGGACATATGAAAACTAAAGTCTACATTTCTAGAACAAATAAGCCCAGTGCATTTTATCTTCCCTTCCACAGCTTATATTTAATCCTTTAATTGATTTATATATCTACTCTGAGCCTTCTACAAAGTCCTTGAGTTGTAGAACGCAGAATGTGTTACGGTATATAAATAAATGTCTGATCAGTGCAGTTGAAAGAGAGAGCTGACTGTTCCATCTGTAGCATACTTTATATGTGACAATATTCACTGCTTGTGGTTTCCAAAGCAAGAGCTTTGCTCATAAGACTAATACATTCCATTTCTACTAGATGCCATTTCTTAGAGAGAAAGCGTCATGGTGCTATTTTTTTTTCCATTTCATAAGATAAATTGAGCTTCCTGATATTGGTACCGAGTCACAGATACACTATGCCCCTTTCCTGCCAATGTCACCACACGCCACATTACTGACATGAGGAACACAGGCAGCCAAGTGACGGCCGATCTGGCTGCCCTCCTGATGACTAGATGGCACAGGAAAAGAGAGCACAGTGTTTCATTTTTGTCTTAAGGAAATTATAATTAAAAAGGAGAAATTTTGCTGACCCTATCCCAAACCTACCCATACTGTATACCTCACTACAAATACTTAAGGGACGGTATAATCTGATTTACAGAGGAGTAGGAGTTATAAGATTAAAATAAGTCTAACATGGGTCATTGAAGCATTTTTTTATTTGATTTGTCTCTTCCTAGAAAGTGAAGAAATAGGTGTCACTACTATCATAAATGAGAATCAGTCTGTAAGATTCATTATACTACAGCCACGTTCCAAGGGAGATGTAACCTAGATCTGGATCAGAGATTTTATCATCAAAATAGAGAAATGTCAAGAATGGTCCATGAGAACTGGAAGGGAATGAGGGAGCAGGGCAAACCTCCAGATTGGAGGGAAGTGGCATGACTAACAGGCTGTTTCCCCCACAGGCATTACAGGCCCCTTACGTAAACAGCATAGACCAAACAAACTTATGGAGAAGCGCAGCTCTTACCAGACTTTGGTCTGATATGGAAATGCAACGTTTACCTCTGTGGTCTCTTTTAGCCTTAAACTGCTAGTCAGTTCATGAAGTTTTGGAAAGTAAATGGGCTTAATTTGTAGACATGAAACAGAATAAAGATAAGTAGCGACCTTAAGACTGAGTTTTAGTCGGAGGGACCTCACCTAATGTGCATGATGCAATGGTACATTTCAAAACTATTAAGAAATGAGTATAATGGTGATGGATGTGTTAGTTGGGTCAATGTAAACATTTCATATTGTGTATCTAAGCAGTACCCTGAACCCCATAAGTGCATCAATGTACAAAGGTATGATTTAATAACAAATAATTAATGATAAAAAAGACTTAGTTTTAAAAAAACATTGCTAATTGATTCAATAGACTATAGTATATGCATAAGTGCATTTGACAAGATTACCCAGGGACTCCAATGCAAAAAACTAAATGGTAATGTTAACTGCACCCCTAAGAGCTCGCTCATTAATTGAGATAGATGGGTGGGAAGACAACTTCAGCTGATTGTTATGTATAAAAACGTTGTTTTTGCATTTCATGGAACTAACAACGTGTTTTTAGCAATGCCATCAATTCTGAGTGAAATCCATCCTATTAATGGAAATGAGAGAGAAAGGAAGTGGAATGATCAAAGCACAAGTTTAGAAATTCGGTTTAGTGTTTCTTTTTATCCCCAGCAATTAGTAGAATACCTAACCTGTCAGAGATCATTGGTGCTTGTTTGACAACAAATGTTTGTGGAATGAATGGGAGGAGGGGGGAGGGGGGAGAAAGAAAATCAGGGTTGAAGAGTGGGAGTTAGAATCTGTGGGAGTTAGACTTTGTTTTTCTGTTTCCCAGACATCCTGGAATAATAGAATAATAATTTTTTAAGGGAAAGGAAAATGAAAGGTTGGCAAGAGCCATCAGAGCCTGAGGCCAGAGGTTAACAACACTCTCATTAGATGACATTTCAAGTTCATTAAGAGTCAGAAGGAAGCTTCAGCATCCAGAAATAGTTTGAAATTAAAAGTTACACGAGACCAATGAGAACAGAGCACTGGTGACTTTTCCACAATTTAAGTGGGGTGGTGTAGAGACAGGCACGGGCCCAGCCAGGAAATGGGCTCCAGTTTCATTTTTACCACTTGATGCTCTCTGATTTGAAGCTTGCTCTTTAACTATTCCAAGTTTCTGCTTTTTATTAGTAAAGTGTGGGATCCCCAGGTCATTTTGAGCATCACGTCAGGTTTTATCTGTACAAATGGCTTTGCATACAGCATAACAAACAAATCTTTGTTTAAAAGCGTTAAGTTTATTAATCAAGAAGGAATAAAGAATAGTTGTGTTTTGCATTTTGGTCTAATCACTCATCTATATTGAATTAACGTGGATGTACAAGGGATAGTTTCAGCTCATACTCAGCCGTTAGTTCTGCCATCAAGATCGGCCAGAGAGTGGGCGGCTCCTGTGGCTCAGTGAATAGGGTGCTGGCCCGATATACCGAGGGTGGCGGGTTCAAACCCAGCCCCGGCCAAACTGCAACAAAAAATAGCCAGGTGTTGTGGCAGGCGCCTGTAGTCCCAGCTAATTGGGAGGCTGAGGCAAGAGAATCGCCTAAGCCCAGGAGTTGGAGGTTGCTGTGATCTATGTCTCCACAGCACTCTACCAAGGGGAATAAAGTGAGACTCTATCTCAAAAAAAAAAAAGATCAGCCAGAGAGTAGAAGAGTAATTATCATTATCATCATCACCATGTCACTTAAAATCTAGCAAGGGCTTGCAAAGTGCCACGGACCAAGGGCTCTACGTACTCTGTTAGCTCATTATCTGTAACTTAATTGATTATCAT